TGGTCCTGACACACTCCAGCACACTGTGTTACGGACATGGGGCTATTTAGGGCCAGATAACAGAAGTTCTGTGGGATTTTTGGGACCAGATCTCAGAGCAGTTCAKCACCTGCTCCAAACACAGAGGGCGGCCAGGGGTGAGCATTTCTGGAAGCTGCCCAGGTTGGGTGTGATGGGGGAAGTTTTTGCTCTGGGCTTTCMTCACCTCCCCATTGCTTGGAAACCTTTTCAATGCCTTTTTAAGGGAATTCCTAATTAGCACAACTCGCTTCTCTTGGCAGCACTGGAGTGACATCCCCGAGAAAGCTGGAGCTGGAGCCAACATCTCCTGCCTGAATCAGGGCCTTTGGGAGTCGGTGGTTTTACAACAAAAGTTGTGTTGTTCACTGCAGCTCTTCTTTAGGCACAGTGGGCAGGAAACCCTGGCACTTGCCAAGTGGCAGTGTCCAGAGCTGGCAGGACATCACCACCCCATGGAGGGGTTCACGGGAAAGTGCTGGGGTTATGGAGCTGGGGAAGGATCAGGTGTGGAGCTGGGGGATGTGTTTGTGGCTGTCTTTTGTCACCTGATGGGCTCCACCATTGTCCTGGAAAGAGTTTTGATTCCTTGCCCTCTGTCATGTCCCAAACTGGGTGGGTGAAGTGACAATCCCTGTGTGCCACTGCACGTTGGACACCACAGAGGTTTTGTGGAGGTTTGGCCTCTTACGGTGGAGAATTTCTTCATGGCTTCCTGCTGTGTGTTACAGGAGAAGTGGTGAACACCCATGGTCCRGTGGAGCCAGACAAGGACAATATCCGTCAGGAGCCATACACCCTGCCCCAGGGCTTCACCTGGGATGCCCTGGACCTGGGGGACAGAGGTGTGGTAAGTACAGGACTGTTGGAGAYGGTTTTGGGGTTGGAAACGTCCTTCAGCACAGCAGRCCACACTCCAGCTCTGTCACTCCATCTCCTCGGGCTTGGATGGCTCTGACTGCCTCCACTACAATCCCCTGTTACCCATCCCAGCTTGGCCTCATTTCCTCAAGGAGCTGTAAGGATGCCCAAAGCCAGGAGTTTTCCTTTAGCAAGACCTTTTAGAGGCTGTCCCACCTCCCTGGGTGGTGACACAGCTCTGAGCAGTGTCCTGCTGCTCACCCTGCTCCATGTGACACCAGTCCAGGACCCCAAGGTGGGGTGACATGCCAGAACAGGGACACAGCCCGGCGCTGTGGCCACACACAAAATGTTCAGGGTCTGTCTGGGGGCAGTGATGGCTGAGTAACCTGAACCTGCTGCTCTGTGCTGCTGCAGCTGAAGGAGCTCTACACGCTGCTCAAYGAGAACTACGTGGAGGACGATGACAACATGTTCCGCTTCGATTACTCGCCCGAGTTCCTGCTGTGGTGAGTGGCACCGGGCRTGCAGAGTGCAGGGTGTGGGATGCTGACAGACCTGATCCCGGTGACAGGGCTGCAGCTGCCTTTGCTCAGCCCAGCTCCCTTCTTCCTGAAACGTCTCTTCCCCATCTGTCACTGTGCAGCGTCCCAGGGACGCGGTGAGAGGGGCTGTCACCCAGCCCTGCCTGCCTCTGGCTCCTTCAAGATATGGGAGCTTAAAATTGGATTTTTTTCCTCTTTGGTTTGATCCCTTCAAGTGTTAGTGAAAATCTTAATAGCTGAGGAATTCCTTAGTGCCCTGGAGCTATGGGATGAAGGCAGCTGCCAGCAATTACCCTTGGAGTCCTGTTGCAGCAGAGCTGCTGTTTCCTGAGGGTGTTCCTGAATCGAGGAACAGGGATTTCCTCCACTAGTGAGGACTGTGGGGTGCAGGAACTGCCCTGGATCCCAGCAGTCCKTGTCACATCACTGTCACCCTTTCACCAGCAGGATGCAGGGTGTCCCAGGGCAGGGTGGGAGGCAGAAGCAGGTACACCAGGGACCTTGGATGGGAGGTGACAGCTGAGGTGTGTCCCCTCCCCAGGGCACTGCGTCCTCCAGGCTGGCTGCCCCAGTGGCACTGCGGGGTCCGAGTGGTCTCCAGCAAGAAGCTGGTGGGATTTATCAGCGCCATCCCAGCCACCATCCACATCTATGACACGTGAGTGCTGCTCCAGTGCATTTCTCATCCTGCCCCTTGCTGGCACCTGGGGCTTCCTGGGAATGCTGAGGGGTCTGGCTATGTTGTTCTCCCCAGCCCACAGCCAGGGAGATATTTTGCTGCTTGGAGGAGAAGATGTGGGATAATTAATGCAGGCAGGGATGTTCTGGGCAGGAACATCTTTGTTTTTAACCACCCTGAAGGCTGTTTTCCTCAATGAGTGAGGTCAGTTTAGTGCTCTGGCTTASAGAAATCATCCAGGGCTAAATGGAGACATAGAATCATAAAATCTCCTGAGACTGAAGGGATCTCCAGGGCAGCCCAGCAGTCCCACCCTGTGCATCCCYGAGAGCGTTCTCCAAACTCTGCTGGAGCTCTGGCAGCCTTGGGGYTATGCCCATGCCCTGRGGAGCATGTTCAATGCCCTGATATCCAAACTAAACCTCCTCTGACAGATTCAGACCATTTTCCCTGGGAATCCCTGGGTAACAGCTTAAGGGAGGGCTCTCCAAACCCAGCCCCTGCCCCTTCTTGCCTCCTCATTCCCTTGAAGGGGCTTGGAGGTATTCGTGAAGTAGATTGCCCAGGGCGTTGGTCTGATCCTCCCAGGTCAGGGCAGTCAAGCCTCATACCCTGCATTGTTTCTTCCCCAAGAGAGAAGAAGATGGTGGAGATAAACTTCCTGTGTGTGCACAAAAAGCTGCGCTCCAAACGGGTGGCTCCGGTTCTGATCCGTGAGATCACACGGAGGGTGCATCTGGAGGGGATCTTCCAGGCTGTTTACACTGCAGGAGTGGTGCTGCCAAAGCCTGTGGGGACTTGCAGGTGAGTGTGTGTGGCTCTCCCAGGATTCCTGTCTGCAGACCTTCCYTTCCCAAGGTCCCCTCTGTGTCCTGGGACAGAACAGAGCGATGCCAGCCCAGGTTTCCCTCCCCACGCTGCCCTTCCAGGATTAAGTGCAGCAGCTTTGCTAAAGCTGCTGATGTAACACGGCAGAGGAGAGAGACTCTGGCAGCACAAACACTTCAGAGCCGTGTTTCTCTCTGCGGGGAGCTGCCTGCCTGATGTTCTCGCTTGCCCTCGCAGCAGCCACGGGAACCTCGTGCCCCCGTGGCTGCCCTGCTGGCCCAGAACCAGTCTCCCACTGCCAGTGTGTTTCCRCAGGTATTGGCACCGCTCCCTGAACCCTCGGAAACTCATCGAGGTCAAATTTTCCCACCTGAGCAGGAACATGACTATGCAACGTACCACGAAGCTTTACCGGCTGCCCGAGGTGGGTGCCAGCCGGGGGCAGAGCTCAGGAGAGGGGACAGGCACAGACATCCTGGGTGAGGTCAAATCCTCTGCCTGGAGAGCCAGGGTTTGTTCCTTGTAGTAAATGACTCTGTCAAGCAGTTGTGCTTTATTTAATCTTTCTGTATTTTTGCCTGGGTACCTGCATTKTAAGGGCAAATTCTTGCAGTTAGAGGACCCCGTGAGGTTTTGTTTGCTGGTGAGTCACAGCCTGTCATCCTGGTAAAACGAGCAGGCAGATGTGACAGCCTTCATCTGTCCAAACACAGCCTCGCTGTGACCTTGGATCCAGTTAGTCCCTCATTCTTCAGTCACACTGATCRGTTCTGGCACTGCAGTTGTCCTGCTGGGGAAGTTCCCCAGCTGGAGATGGGAGAATAAAAAACAAGCAGTGCATTAAAATTGCCACCACCTTCCCCGACCTTGTTGGCTCCTTTCTGTCAGCCAGAGCTGCCCCTTTGGGGTGCAAAGTGCTGCTTTCATGCTGGGCAGCTCCCAGCTTCTGCCTCCCACAGGCATCAGCAGCTGCTAGGCTGGAGCTACTGGTTTTTGCAGAGAAACTCAGCCCCAGAGCAGATCTGGGCTTGCTGAGCCATCCCAGCCTTAGATTAGTAATTGAGGCCAAGTGGGAATAACATCTTGTGGAGCCTGGGATGTGTCTCCCAGCCCGACCCTGCTGTGAGTGGGAACAGGGACCTGGAGGGAAGCAGGGATCTTGTGTCTTTAGTGAGTAGGAGGCCACTTCCAGTGGGACCTGACCTGGCACTTGGGGATTTGGGATGTGCTGTGCTCTGTGTGATCTGTGCCATCGGTGTCACAGCTGATCACATCCATCCTTTGCTGGGCACGCAGGGCCAGGGGGCTGAAAATGGGCTGATCTAAGCAGAGAGCATCTCYGTGCTGCTTGTTAGAGAGCCCTTGGGTGATGAAAACCACTGTGCAAGCACCAAAAGGACTTGTCCCACTTTCTGCAGACTCCCAAGACTCCCGGCTTGCGGCCCATGGAGCACAGGGACATCTCAGCTGTGCACAAGCTCTTGACCGAGTACCTGAAGCAGTTCCACCTGACGCCCGTGATGAGCCGAGAGGAGGTGGAGCACTGGTTCTTACCTCAGGAGAACATCATTGACACCTTTGTGGTAGAGGTGAGGGGCAGGAGCAGAATTGGGGGGTGTTTTCCTGGGATTTTGCCTCTGCTGGAGCTGTGGGAGCAATTGGGGAAGGCACTGAGATGCCTTTCCAGGATGAGAGGATGGTGCCTCCATCCTGGCATGCCCCAAGTCTCCTCCCACCCATCACTCCGACTGGCAGAGCCCCTCTGACTGGGCTTTATCCCATCTGATGTGTGCTGATGTCACTTCTGCCTTGCAGAGTGCCCCGGGGGAGGTGACAGACTTCCTGAGCTTCTACACGCTGCCCTCCACCATCATGAACCACCCGACCCACAAGAGCCTGAAAGCTGCTTATTCCTTCTACAACGTTCACACCAAGACGCCTCTCATCGACCTCATGAGTGACGCGCTCATCCTCGCCAAGTCGGTGAGGGATGGTGGGGATGGGGTGGCACCACAGGGCACTGGGCAGCTCACCAGGACCCCACAAGGATCCTGCAGGCTGACCACCCTTGGGTTTGTGGGAAGGGCAAATCCCGAATCCTGAAGGATCTGCCCCCCAGGGGAGGGGTGCAGGATGACCTTGAGCCTTCCTGCTCGTGGTGAGCTGAGCTTGGGGTGTTACTCATGTCCTACAGTTGGATTGAGGGTGGGGACCCCAATACCGAGCTCTTCCCTTTTCCTGGGATTCAGATCCAGGCAGGAAAGGGGGACAGRCTGCTCACAGGTGGGAGGAACTCCCCAGCACAAAAGCAGGAGCTGATGGCTTCACATCTTCCCTGTGCAGAAAGGATTCGACGTCTTCAATGCACTGGATCTCATGGAAAACAAAACCTTCCTGGAGAAGCTGAAGTTTGGGATCGGTGACGGGAACCTGCAGTATTACCTGTACAATTGGAAGTGTCCCAGCATGGCACCAGAGAAGGTCAGTGCCAGGGGGATCCTGCCCATGTGTGCTGAGGGGTCTCATCCCCACAGCCTTGGGGACATGAGTTGGGTGTCACCCACACCTTGGCATTCCCAGCCCAGCTGATGTCCTCTCAGTGTCACTCACGGTGACAGGTGAATCCATCTCTGCACAGAGTGTGTCCCCAGGGAAAATCCCTCCTCACTCGTCTTCCCAAGCTCATTTTATCCCTGGACCAGTGCAGGTTCAGTCCTACCCCTCACAMAACCTTTTCCCTCTGGGGAAGGAGGCCAAGCCCAGAGGACAGCAGAGGTGACAGGTGTGACAGCAGGGGCTGTGACAGTCACCTGGGAAGCAGTTGCTATGCTGTGTGATCCCACACAGGACCCCGCATAGCCCTGGGTGTCAGCTTGTCGTGGTGGGGTGGGAGGAACGGCCACCCCTCTGGGCTGCAGCAGGACCTGTGACAATGGGGAGCTGTGCCACCACATGCAGGGGGCTGAGCCACGGGATCCCAGGGTGGCATTTGTCCCCACCCAGCTGCTTCCAGGGCTGTGGCTGCAGCCCCATCTGCCTGCCCCGGGCCATTCTGGTTGCTGCTGTCCCTCCACCCCAAAGATGTGATTTGACATCTGTCCAGTCCACAGCCACCTTGCAGAGCACAGTGCTTGAGAGCCAGAATCTGCCCAGCACCATCACAGCTCATTAACAGCTCATTAATGCCTTGTCAGCAGTCACAGGGCTTTGGTTCCCTGGTGTGAAGCCAGGGCTGTCTCTGGGACAAATCCATGTGCCCTAAACCAGCCTCAGTCGCCTGCTGAATTTCCCAGGAGGTTCCCAGGAGGGGTCAGCGATCCCTTCTCTTGCTGGGAGAGCTGGTGGGTGGGAGAGCCTGGTGCTGGAGATGTTCCCTGTGGTGGGGCTGCCTCTGGTTCCGATGGGTCAGAGCACAGGACCGGCCACCCGCACGTCCTGAGAGTCCCCAGCAGTGCCAGCTGCCTGCAGAGGGACATGCCCAGGGACCAKGCTCTTCAAGCAGCTTCTCCCAAGCCACAGAATCGTGGAATGGTTTGGGTTGGAAGGAACCCTAAACGAGTATCTTGTTCTACYCCCTTCCATTTCCACCTTCCYTCCCMCYTYC